TTTAAAAAACTCTTTTTTAATTATTAAAATTAAATAAATCATTATGAAACCTATTTGCCTTCAAAATAGATGTACTGAGCTATATAAGATAATTTTTCCAAAAGATAATATCCTATTCCAGCTTGGAGAACACACTTAAAAGTCCCCGGGTGTCGCACACCCAGTGTGCGGTTTAAGGATGGATTCGGCAGTGCGCCGTTTTAGGGGTTAAACTTTTAAGGAGCCAACCTTAATACTGTAAATTTTTTTCAGTTGTTACATAAGTAACTTATAGATTGTAGGAGTACACATTGTACGAAAGGGCATGTCCCGTTATGTTTCTAAATAAATAAATAAATAAATCTTTTTGTACATTTTTATTATAATTTAACTATCTTCTATGACAACTTAATTATTTAAATAAAAAAAGAAATTATTGAATAATTTATTCAATAGTGAATATAAAAAATGTCTCATCACAGATTTTTCTAAATTTCATTCTTTTGCATTTTTAGATTATTATAAATTTATCTATAGACATTTTCTTATTTTAACGGAAAAATGTAGTGTTTCTTTCTATTTTACTTAGCAACATCGTATCGTGTAGGAGAATCTACGCTTCGTAAAATAATACAAGAGACGAGCATAGCATTAATTTAAGTACTGGCTCCTGATTACCTAAAAGTACCTAATCGTGAGAACTGGATTAAAATATCTGAAGGATTTAGGGATGTTTGGAACTTGCCGAACTTATTTGGATGTTGTAACGATACTGGAATTTTTGAAGACAGTTTAGTTACAGAAGGATTCTTGAATGTCATTTTGAATTTACCCGACTAGTATTACAACCCTAATTTTTTTGGTTGGTGACAACATTTTTCCATTATGTACCAAGCTGTTAAAACCATATCCTGGTTCTTATTTAAGTGAAGAACAAAAGGTTTTCAATTATTGTCTGTCATGTGCGAGAAGAATTTTTGAAAACGCTTTTATTATTATGGCTTCGAGATGAAGAATTTGACACACTAAAATTTCTGCTGACCTCCAGAAAGTCGAAAACATTGTCATATACATTATTTGCCTGCATAACTTCTTAATGACTATGAACAATAAAACAGACACAAATAGACGGTAATATTGTCTAGCATCTCATGTTGATCGAGAAACAGAAGAAGGATGTGTCCTATTAGGTAAATTTTTTAAATATTTACGATTTAGAAAGTTTTGATTTGATTACACTGTGTTACAAAAAAAATATGACTTCAAAAACTTTCTATGGGACCTAGTGGAGGTTGTAGGGCTTGAAAAACTGAGCAAAATGGTATATTTTAAATTGCCTAAATACCCTCAAAATTCTATTTTAGAGCTAAAAAAACCGTTTTTTAGGAGTTAATCCACAAAAAACCTTCTAACTTTCTTATTTTTTGACCGATTTGAATTTATTTTTTTTGTTTGGAAGCTGAAAAACAAATTTTTCCAACGCTATAAATAGTTTTATCGTATCTTATTAAATGACGACAATAAAGACCAAAAAGTTTTTAAAAATTAATTTTTTTAGTTAATTTTTCTAGTTTCTTATAAATTTGTAACTGTTATCTCACATACAATAATTTTTTTCGTAGTATGCATCGAAAGTATAGTCGATTCTGCTTTTAATGACGCCTGATTGAATAGAATTCGTTAAAATTTGTCAAAGTTATCATACTTTAAATTTTATAGTTACATAAAGTTTTAGAGATGACTGGTCTTTTTTTACATTTAACAAAATAGCGTAGATGTTTAAAGTAAATTCTTTGTGAACTAAGCAAAATTAATGATTTTAGATTAAATTTAACTCAGAATTCATTGTTGATTACAAAAATCGTATAAAACAGAATATTTTTTGTCAACAATTTAATAAATAATTAAAAATTTAAAAATGCTTTTTTAATGTTTTTTTTAACTTTGCACTGTCTTCTTGGCGCTTGAGAGACCAACAATATTCCGAAAGCATATTACAAGTGATTTTTCCCTAAAAAGATGTGTTAAAAAAACCACTAAAAAAGCATATTTAAATTTTATATCATTTGTTAAATTGTTGACAAAAAATATTCTGTTTTATATGATATTTGTAATCAACAATGAATTCTAAGTTAAATTTAATCTAAAATCATATATTTTGCTTAGTTCACAAAGAATTTACTTTGAATATCTACGCTATTTTGTTAAATGTAAAAAAAAGACCAGTCATCTCTAAAACTTTATGTAACTATAAAATTTAAAGTATGATAACTTTGACAAATTTTAACGAATTCTATTCAATCAGGCGTCATTAAAAGCAGAATCGACTATACTTTCGATGCATAGTACAAAAAAAATTATTATATGGCGGTTTTCACGTCAAATGTCCATCCAAAAAAAAGTGTTGATGAATCAATCCCCAAACTTTTTTATGAGTTGTCCTATAAGTAAGTAATTTATCAGCCAAATATTTTTGAATTTTATAAAAAATTATGAGAAGTGGAGGGGGTAGAAGTTTTGAGTTTTTATGTGACACGCACTACTTCGTTTATTTATTGTATTTTAACGAGACAATGCAAAATAATTTTCGAATATGGTATCTTTAGGTTTTTTCATAAGCTTTCGATTGCCGTAGTCCATTTTAGAAAATTTTTTGATTTTGACCAAAATTTTTGAAAATTAAGGATAAAATTTAATTTTTCTCATCTTCTTCATCTTGTACGGTACATAACGAACTTCAGATTACTGCCAATGGATGTGTAAAGATTATAAAAGTTATAAAAGGTAAAACAAATGAATAAACTAAACTCGACAACTTTAACCAAAAAAATTACATATTATCAATCATACATATGGGCAATTCCACGGGAAATTTTTCTACGACATTTTAGAATCGGTTAAACATATTTTTTTATCGTTCTTGATAGAAAAATATTAAATACGTATTTTTTTATTTTTCCATATTTGCCAAAATTTTCGAGTTATGAATTTTTGAAATTTTGGATTTTTAAAAGTAGACCTATTTTCAATAGCTTATAACTTTGAAAGTATTAAGTTTGGAAAAAAGTTGTCAAAGGAAGAAAGTTTTGGTTTTTCTTCAACTTTTAAAAGATTTAAAAAAAAATTTTTTTTTTCAATTTTTAATAAAAAAAAAATTTTTTTTATAAACAAATTAATTTTTTTTAAATTTGGGCGCGATTTTTTTTTATTTTTTTTTTATTTATTTCTACCTACTAATATACAGAAAAATTTCCAAAAAGAATCGAGATTGGCCGACTCGTAGTTTTCGTTCCATAAATTTTTTATAGAAGGAAAACTGTGAATTATAAGTCTAAAAGCTTGTAACTTTGAAAGTTTTGAGTTTAGAAAAAACTAGTCAGAGAAGGAAAATCTTGGTTTTTCTTTAACTTTTATGTAATTTAAAAAAAAAATTTTTTTTTATAAACAAATTAATTAAAAAATTTATAGAACGAAAACTACGAGTCGGCCCATCTCGATTCTTTTTGGAAATTTTTCTGTATATTAGTAGGTATAAATAAATAAAAAAAAAATAAAAAAAAATCGCGCCCAAATTTAAAAAAAATTAATTTGTTTATAAAAAAAAATTTTTTTTATTAAAAATTGAAAAAAAAATTTTTTTTTTAAATCTTTTAAAAGTTGAAGAAAAACCAAAACTTTCTTTCTTTGACAACTTTTTTCCAAACTCAATACTTTCAAAGTTATAAGCTATTGAAAATGGGACTACTTTTAAAAATCCAAAATTTCGAAAATTCATAACTCGAAAATTTTGGCAAATATGGAACAATAAAAAAATACGTATTTAATATTTTTCTATCATGAACAATAAAAAAATATGTTTAACCGATTCTAAAATGTCGTAGAAAAATTTCCCGTGGAATTGCCCATATATACGTAAAAGCATGAAATCAACACGAATTCATTCGTTTTGCTTCAAATCTCTTTAACTTTTCAGTAGTTAAGCTAGGCGGGTTCTGGGCCACTTACCTACAGTCGGTAAGGTAGATTTCTTTAATAGTGAACTTTCAAGTGGCTTAGAAGGGGTATTCTGTTTTACCGACCGAGTTTTAGTACTGGCTGTCACCGCTAGATGGCGCCACTTTATTTTTGTTCAATTTAAACCCCCTTAGAGGGGTATTTAAATTTTTATTTTTGAATTTTCAAGTGGCTTAGAAGGGGTGTTATGTTTTACCGACATCTGAGTTCAGGCTGCCACCGAGAGATGGCGCCACATGTGAATTCTGACCCACTTGGCGCGAAATTTCAATTTTTTATTTTTAAACTTTCAAGTGGGTTAGAAGGGGTAATTTTAAATTTCGCGCCACTAAGTGAAAGTTGGTTGGTGTTCTACTTTACCGACCTTGATGATAATACTCCTATAAAAATGCCGGTAAATTACCGACTGATGATAAGTTACCGACCAATGGCATTACCGACCGATGACCCACTTGGGTTATGTTAACTTCAAGTTATCCCAGTAGTCGGCGTTAACTACATTGTGGTAGGAGAGTTGCGTGCGCCTGTGGAGTAGTGGGGAGTTGCACAGTGGGGAGGTGCGTATAGTGGGGACTAGGGTATAAGTTACGGAGCGCGAGCCACGAGCATCAGTTGCATCTTGAATGGTGCAGCAGACTACTTTCAGGTTTTCAGGGTTCCAGATTTTCTTTAGAGTTTACAGAGATTTTTTTTCGATTTGATTTTCAGAGACAATTTTTCAGAGTTTTTTTTTGTTTTGAATTTAGGAGTTATTTATTATAGGTTTTTTTTTATTTTTTGTGTTCTATTTTGCATTAGTTTTAAGTTGGTGGTGGTTTTTTTTCTATTTTTGGGTTCTTTTTTTTCTATTTCAGGATTTTTTTTTAGATCTAGTTGTTTATTTTGAGGATTTTTTTAGATTTAGTTGTTTATTTTCAGGATTTTTTTTTAGTTTGAGTTTTTTTTTCAGGTTTTTCTTAGTTTTAGACGTATTTTTTTTAAGTTTATTTTCAGATTTAGGTATCAAGATGCCAAAGTGCAAATCGTCAAAGAAATCACGACGACGGATAAACCTCAAGGACTACAATGAGGTGTGTGAGGAGGCTGACAACTTTATCAAACTTGCAGAGCGAGGACTCAGCACCACGATGAATATGACAGGTGACGATAAGCTTATTAAAACTTTTGAATGGCAAAACAAGTGTGAGCGTTACAAAAACGTAATGCGTAATTTTTTGAAAAAATATGAATTTTTACCTTATCAAAAATCAAGATGTTTGAATTTAAACCAAAAGATAGAATATTTGTGTTGCCATTTTGAAGTATTAAGTAAACGCGGTGCGGGTGTGCAAATGGAGAATGAAAGATTGAAATGGGTAAATTTTGATAAGGCATTCGATGATCGTTTACAAACCAGTGCTATTATGAATTTATCGTATAAAGATATTAACTCGTTCTTGGATGATGCCTTTGCTTTATTCAAAATTAATATTCAAAAAGCTTTAAACAGGTTTGGTTCGCTAAAAGTGTATACCGTGTTAGGCGCGAAATTTGTTAAAGATTCCATTGACGGGAAAACACAAGAAATATCAGATTTAAAGACATTTATTGCGAAAACCGGTGAAATTTTAGTTACAACCCCATTAGATGACTGGTACAATGTTTATGTTAAACAAGTAACCCTAAAAAGAATGGAGGAATTCCAAGAGAAAGATTCTAATTGGAGACTTCATTCTATTGAAAGGTTGGAAGTTAACATTAACAAATACAACCCAATGCGTGCAAGCTCGTATATCAATTTGCCATCTGCTATCAATAGAAAGCATGCCTGCATAAATGTTCAAAACACCGATAACCAGTGTTTTAAATGGTCAATATTGTCAGCGTTATATCCCTCAGATAATAAGCATGCACACAGAGTTGCAAAATACAGGCAATATGAAGATTCACTCGATTTTACTGGAATTGAATTTCCAGTTGCACTTAAAGATATTTCAAAGTTTGAGGTTTTAAACAACATTTCAGTCAACGTTTACGGCCTTGTCAAAAGAGATGAAAAATTTAGTGTTTCACCTCTACATCTATCATCACAAAAGAAAATTCATCATGTTAACCTTTTACGAGTTGAAGACCACTACATTGATGAAAATCATGAAGAAGAAGAGGAGGAGGAGGAGGATGAAGTTGCTATCATGTCATTCAACTACCACTATGTCTGGATCAAGGATTTGTCGAGACTCGTCAGTTCAGACTTATCAAAGAAGAAGAACAAAAAATACATCTGTGATCGCTGCTTACACTATTTTGGAGAAGAATCTAAGCTGAACGAACATGAAGAAAATTGTAGAGTGATGAACGACACAAGAATTAAATTGCCTCAACTTGGAAAAAATATCCTTGAATTTCAACATTTCCAAAACAAGGAACGTGTGCCTTTTATTATCTATGCGGATTGTGAGAGTCTTTTAATTCCTACAGAAGCACCAAAAGAAATATCCAATACAGAAGTTTTTCAAAATCATGAAACTCTCAGTATTGGATATTACTTGAAGTGCGCTTTTGATGATTCTTTGTCTGTATACAAATCGTCTCCAAGAGATGAGGAGTATCCAGCAAAGTGGTTTGCAAAGGAATTAAAAAATTTGGCTGATAATATAGATTCTTTATTTAAAAATCCTGTGCCCATGGAAACTCTAAGTTCTCAGCAATGGGTAGCTTTTCGAAATGATAGCACATGTCATATTTGTAAAAAGAAAATCGAGCCTGGACAAGTAAAAGTAAGAGACCATTGTCATCTAACAGGGAAGTTTCGTGGACCCGCGCATCAAGAATGTAATATTAATTACCATGAATCGCAAACCATACCTGTCGTTTTTCATAACCTAAGCGGCTATGATGCACACTTTATCATTGAATCGATTGCTACTGAATTTGAAGGTAATGTTTATCTCCTCCCCATAAATAAAGAAAAATATATTAGTTTTACTAAAAATGTAAAAGGTAGTTTTATAAAATTTCGTTTTATCGATTCTTTTAAATTCATGGCATCATCATTGGACAAGTTAGCATCCTATCTTAATGAGTACAAAATTGTTAATTCTGTTTTTTCCAACTATAGTGATGACAAAATTCAATTGTTAACTCGAAAAGGAGTTTTTCCCTACGAGTACATCGATTCAAGGGAAAAACTCAATGAAACAGAGTTACCACCCAAAGAAAAATTTTATAGCACTTTAAACGATTCGAATGTCTCTGATGATGATTATACCCACGCGCAGAAAGTTTGGAATGAATTCAATTGTCAAAATCTCGGTGATTACGTATACTTGTACATGCAAACCGATATATTGTTACTCGCGGACATTTTTGAAAATTTTAGAAATCAATGTTTAGTCGCGTACGGTCTTGACGCAGCGCATTATTATACAACACCGGGACTAACATGGGATGCCATGTTGAAGTACACGGAAATAAGATTGGAACTCCTCACTGACATTGACATGGTAATGTTTATAGAACGTGGTATAAGAGGTGGAGTGAGTCAGTGCATGAATCGTTACGCAAAAGCTAATAATCATTATATGAAGAATTACAATGAGAGTGAGGAAACATCTTATATCATGTACTTTGACGCAAATAACTTGTACGGTTGGGCCATGGTTCAGTCACTTCCCTATGGTGGCTTCAAGTGGGTAGAGAATGTCGATAATAGTTTTGATTTCAATGTTGCAGACGATGCGCCTACGGGTTACATTTTGGAAGTTGATTTGGATTATCCAGATCAGCTTCATGATAAACACAGCGATTTTCCATTTTGTCCGGAACGCTCGAAGCCACCAGGGTCAAAACAGGAGAAGCTCCTAACTACCCTCCTACCGAAACGAAAGCACGTTCTCCATTATCGTGCCTTAAAACAAGCTATTGACAACGGTCTCGTGCTAGTTAAAATTCATCGCGTCTTAAAATTCGAACAATCCATGTGGTTGAAAAGTTACATTGACTTTAATACTACGAAAAGAACAAACGCTAGTAATGAATTTGAGAAAAACTTGTTTAAATTGATGAACAACGCAGTATTTGGCAAAACAATGGAGAACGTGCGGAAACATGTGGAAATTAAACTTGTGACAAAGTGGGAGGGTAGGTATGGAGCTGAAGCCTTAATCTCCAAACCTAATTTCCACAGCAGAGCCATTTTCAATGAAAACTTGGTTGCTGTGGAACTTAGAAAAATGGAAGTTCTAATGAACAAACCACTTTATATTGGTTTAACCGTGCTAGATGTTTCAAAAACGCTAATCTATGACTTTCACTATGATTATATGCTGAAAAAATATGATGAAAAGAAACTAAAATTATTGTACACCGACACCGATAGTCTTATTTATGAAATCAAGTGCTCAGACATTTACGAAGACATGAAGAAAGATATTCAAAAGTTTGATACTTCTGATTACCCAACAAATAACGTGTACAATATTCCGCAAGCCAACAAAAAGATATTAGGCCTCATGAAGGATGAGTGCAGTGGAAAAGTTGTAACAGAATTTGTTGGCTTGCGGAGCAAAATGTACAGCGTTCGCGTAGAAGAGAAAGATTTAATAAAAAAGGCTAAAGGTGTGAAAGCATTAGTTGTAAAGAAAAATATCGACTTTGATGATTATGTTTATTGTCTACAAAATGTTAAAATCCAATCGAGGACGCAATATTGTATTCGGTCGAATCTTCACAAAGTACAAACTTTGAAACAAACAAAAATTGCTTTAAGTCCTTATGACGACAAGAGATACTTAATAGAAAACAGCACCGACACCCTCGCATGGGGTCATTGTAAAATTCTTGAAATTGACGACGAAGAAGATAAATTAATGTGAATAAAACATTGTTAAAAAAAAAGAGAGAGGGAGGAATTGATTGTTTGAATAAAATATGTTCATTTTATTTTATGTCTTCTTTATTTTAAATAAACCTTAATCTAGTTACATGAATTTATTTTAACTTTTTAAACTTATTTTAACTTTTCTTAACATTACTTTAACTTTATTTAACTATATTTTAACTTTATTTAACTATATTTTAACTTTACTTTAACTTATTTTAACGTTACTTTAACTTATTTGAAAGTTACTTTAACTATACTTTAACGTTAACTATATTACATATCAGATTTTTTTATCCAACTATTATGTGAGCTATCGAATCCAAGCCATTTCACGTATACATCATTACCACGAGTCTTGAGAACTTTTTCTACAAGGTAAACATCTGGATATTGAACTTTCAGCAATTCTTCTTCGTAGAAACCACCTTCGATGGGTTGATTTTGATAATCTTTCAGCTTGTATGTAACTGGTTTTGTTGATTTAACTTTTTCCACAGTGAATATTTCCGTTGTCCAATTGGGAGTATATCCTTTTTCAAAAATATTTTTAAACTTGCTAACTCGAACTCTGTCTCCAACTTTGAATTTTGATCTTTTTAGCGGAATTCTACGTAGTTTACGGATACGTCTCAGCAGTTCTCTTGTATCTTCTACGGTGACATCTTTGGGTTTCATACCAATAGTACGATGCTTTTTATTATTGTACTTTGACATAAGAGTTGGTAAAAGATTAATCCATTTATAATTGCCTTGTAAGCTGAATTCAGGCCACATCATATTTTTTAGAGTGCGGTTAAATCTTTCAACAATTGAGGCTTTCAAATTACTATAGGTAGAATAGAGATTAATGTTAAATTCTTGCATTAAACTCTTAAATTCAGAATTGTAAAATTCTTTGCCTCTATCAGTATGCAAATTTTTAGGAATTCGGCCTTGTTTGAGAATAGTTTTCATGGCCAAAGAAATATCCTTTCCATTCTTACTCTTTACAGCCACAGCCCAGGCATATTTGGAAAATATGTCTATAACTGTGAGCATGTATTTGAAACCTTTATTAGAATAAGAATAAGGTATCATTTCAACCAAATCTGCTTGCCAGGTTTCATCGATGCCACGCATTTGAACTTTTCGACGAGGATAATTTTTTCTAGCTTGTCTATGCAATTCTTTAACAACAGTTAACTTTTCACCGTCCATTTTCAAGATGGGTTAAACGTGAATCCAACTTAGCGATATATTTAGCGTTTTGAAGAGGTAGTTCAAGTTGTAACTCAGTTTCAATCTGCTTAAGTTTTTCGTTAATTCTTTCTTCAATAGATTGAATAAGAAGAGTCAAGTCATCAATAGCTGATCTTGAAGAAGTTGTAACTGCAAAGACGGTTTTTATTTCGTTTTTAACAATTTTTTTTACTTGTCTTAAATTTACAGCGTCTCGTTGCTCTTCAGCGTCTTGAACGTTGCAAAGTCTTTTGTTATCAATGTCGTATTGTCCACTTGGAGTAATTTTAAAACCAATTCCAGAAGGTCCAGGAAGTCCACGACTTGCAAGAGGCCGTGACAAGGGATGTCCAAACACATCAATGCTCATTTTAATACTAAGCTCTATTTGCTTGTACTCTCCTAATATATAATGCGAGCTTCACGTAGTTCTTCGATGATTGACATAATTTCATTATTATGGCTTATATTACCAGCTTGCTGTGATGCTACTAGCAGACGTAATCGGTCAACTAGTTCATTGGGATCATCCCAATAGATGTAGTCTGGTTCAAATTGTTTCTTTGAAATCATAAATTGAGGTAATTTCTTTCCAAGCTGCTTCTTCTTCTTCTTCAAAATACCTCTACCCTTTTTTGGTGTACCCTTAAAAAGTTTTGAAATGACATCAGTGTATTTAGAATTCCTGGTTACGTTGACAAGTCCACTGGAACTATAATTTTTTCGGTGTGCATTTGTAGCTACAAGAATTTCTTTATAATTTTCCAAATCATCTGAACTTATTAATGCAGGATTAGGTTCTTGTCGAAATAAAAGTTCAAGCAACCCAGCAGTTTTTAAATATTTTTTCTTTCCAACAAGTTGAATATGTGAACCTTCTAAATCAACTGGTGTATCACCAATAATAAAAGAACCATTAGGAAGCTTACGTACTCCATAAACCAAGTCTAGAAAACTTTTCCTGTTTTTATTCAATAATTGAATAAACTTATTTGTCAAATTTTCATAATTAAGTTCTTCTCCCTCTTCTTCAAACTTGTTGCTCTTATCAAATAGACTGTCATTGAGTAGAGTTTTATCAAATTCCTCTTCCTCATCAACAGCAGTTGAGAAAGAAAAATCATTTTCCTCCTTTTTAACTTTTTCTTTCTTAATATTTTTGAAAGGTATGTCAGTTATGTTCACCAGCTTTTCCAGGGGTGTTACTATTGGTTGAAAAGTTTCTTTCAATACTGTTTCTGCAGCCTCTTTACCCATTTTGAGTAAACGATGTTTCCTCCTAATAGCATCACTTGCTTTTGCTATTTGACGAAGCGTTTCTTGCTCTTTTCGATACATGTTTTCTTCGAGACAAGATAAACTATACTAACGAAAAATTCAATAAAGTTCTTGTATTTATAGTGAAATGAAGCAATCAAATCCTCTTCTATATCTTCCTTCATTAAAATTACGGTCCTTATCAATAACAACAAATCCATATTTGTCAGATTTCCAACATTCTGAACATAAATCGCGAAATTGAGTATAACTCATATCTGTATTAACATGATCTTCGTATACATGTTTCAGATTCTTTTCATCTTGTCTAAATAGAACCAATAAATTAACATTATCTCGAACTAGATGTTTAGGAATACGAGCATACGTTTGACATAAATAGAAACTGTCAACGTTTACATGTCTGCCCATACAAAAGAAAGCTCTAACATTATCTTGCTTTTCACAAGCAATGTCATCAAAAACGAATATTGAATTTGCTTTAGCATCTTTTGGAGATACTACTTCTTCATGTTCACTAAATGGAAAATACTCAACACCATCTACCTGACTGATTACATTTTCTAAAAATTTATATTTCGGTTGCTGTAGAGATTTAGAGTAGAGGTAAATATTTTCAAAACTTAGACCATTTGGATGTATTATTAGGGAAAGAAGAGCATTCGTTTTACCACAATTTGAGGGGCCACAGAAAACTGCTCGAATGCTGTCTGAAAACAGACTACCGTGACGTTTAATCTTTTTTTCATTAGTTTCAACATCTATACTAGAGATTGGCAGTGCGACAGGTTGTTTCGTGAACTGCATCTTGACAGTAACTGCTTGAAAATCTATAAATACCCAGCTTTTATAGTCAATTTGTCAGTTTCACGTCAACCATTGTAGAGTGAAGTATGATTCTGCATCAGGAGGTGAAAAAAGGTCGCTATCAAGGAAAAGGTTTAATTAATCGTATCATCAATAGTCTACCGTTTGAGTTACATTTACCAGGATACCAATTCTGTGGGCCTGGTACAAAATTGGCTAAGCGTTTGTCACGAGGTGACCAAGGAATTAATCCACTAGACGCTGCATGCAAGCAACACGACATTGCATATTCGCAAAATCGTGAAAATATTCAAGCTAGAAACGAAGCAGATAAAGTATTAGCTAAGAAAGCTTGGGAACGTGTTAAAGCTAGTGATTCTAGTTTAGGTGAAAGAGCAGCTGCTTTAGCTATTTCTGGAACCATGAAAACTAAATCTAAATTAGGTATGGGGATGAAAAGAAGGAGAAAATCATCCATTAGAAAGAAAAAAAGAAAAACAATATGTAGGAAGAAAAGGATAGCACTAAGAAAAATTGTAGATGCTGCGCGAAAAAGTATGGTTCCCAGTAATAATGCTGAAGAATCAATTAGAGCAGCTATGACTGGTGCACGAAAAGCAATAAAAAATGTTGGTGGTAAATCCAAAGTTCTATCACCTAGAATTCTTCCAGTACCTACTAAAGTAGGTGGAATTTTACCGCTAGTTCCAATTTTTGCTGGACTTAGTGCATTAGGAGCTCTTGCTGGAGGAGCTTCAGGAATAGCAAGAGCTGTTAATAAGGCTAAAACAGCTAGTGAACAACTCGCAGAAGCTCAGCGTCACAATAAAACAATGGAAGCTATATCGCTTGGAAAAGGATTACACCTTAAACCTTATCGACAAGGACTTGGTCTCCATCTTAAACCTTACACTCAAGGAAAAGGAATTGGAAAACGAAAGAAACGAGCACCGAGAAAGAAAAAACGAGCATCAAGGAAGAAGAAGAAAATAACAAGAAGGAAAAAAAACTTGTTTTGAAGCTACCTCACCGACCATTAACTGATTTTGATTTGTTAAAGTATGCCAAAACTATAAAAATACCTTATTTTCGCGGTGTTTTTATGCGAAATGAACTACCTATTAGTGGTCCTCATCAATATGAATCAGGAATAATCAATCTTGATAATAAAGAAGGTGCTGGAACACATTGGGTAGCATATAAAAAATTCAAAAACGAAACAATGTATTTTGATAGTTTTGGTAACCTTGCACCACCAACAGATCTTGTCATTTATCTAGGTGATGGTAGCTTAATAAAATATAATCATGAAAGATTTCAAAATTATAATACATTTGTATGTGGGCACTTGTGTCTTAAATTTTTATGTAATCAACTAAATATTAAGAGTAGCTTTAACCTATATAAAAGTGTGTAACTATTGTAAGCTTTCAGTATAAAATCTGATAGCAAGATGAGTGGTTCATTTACTTTAACGTTAACGGGAAATTCTTCAGTTCTTGAAGCTGAATATTTCCCTCCAATAGAACTAAATTCAAATAAAAGTTATGTACTTGGTCTTGTTGAACTATTGACTTTTAATTCAATTCCCAATATTGATAAAGGAAATAATAAGTTTTACGTTGGAAATCAAGTAATTGATATTTCAACTGGAAGTTATGAAATTAAAGACATTGAATCTTATATACAAAATTCTGTAGAAATCGGAACTGTCATTAGTATAAAACCGAATAATAATACTTTGCGCAGTGTAGTTAAATCCAATTTGCCAATTGATTTTAACCCTAAAGACTCAATTGGTAATTTGTTGGGATTTACATCGAAGCTTCTAGAACCTCATAGAGCACATACTTCTGATTTACCTGTAGCCATTCTAAAGGTCAATTCAGTGAGAATTGAGTGCAACATAACATCTGGAGCGTATATAAATAATCAAAAAGTCCACACCATTCATGAGTTCTTCCCCAGCGTTCCACCAGGATATAAGATTGTGGAAGTGCCAGCTCACGTCATTTACCTTCCGATTGCCACCAAGACAATACATAATATACAGCTGCGAATTGTCGATCAGGACGGTGATTTAATAAATTTTAGAGGAGAAACTATAACAATTCGATTGCATATAAAGTCTTTGTAATGGGAATCATTTATAATCAAAGAGCTGTTGTTGGTGGAAACTATAAAAGTCAACCAACATGCAAGAGTCCAATCAGTCTAAATTTATCTCACAAGGTGTTAACACCTCAGAATCGCCTCTTTCTGCAAGAACTAGGTCTAAAAGTTCAAGGAAAGAAAATAAGACAACGAGACAATTAATCTACATATTTTTTGGTTGCTGTTGCAATAAAAATGGACGAACTTCTCAATATTCCAGCAGCAGTGAATTTTGATGAGTCTATAGCTCATTATGAAATTCATGCTCATCAACCGTATGCATCTTCATCTTTTAACAATAGCGATGAAATTCGAATCGCAGTACAACATCAAGACTTGTGCATTTTACCCAGTAAAAGTTCATTACACATTTTTGGCAGATTAGCTAAAAATGATGGAATTACTCTTACAGAAAACATGCATTTAAGTAATAATGCTGTATGTTTCTTGTTTGATGAAATTCGCTATGAACTAAATGGAATTGAAATAGATCGATGCAAAAACGTTGGACATACTACAATCATGAAAAATTATGTCTCACAAACTCCAACTCAGCTCAATTTTATTGAAAATGCTGGGTATTCAAAAATTGCAGCTGACGCAAGACTTACATTGGAAAATGGATATTTTGACGTCACAATACCACTCAGCATGATTTTTGGTTTTGCTGAAGATTATAAAAGAATCATTATGAACGCTAAACATGAACTTATTTTAACAAGAGCACGTTCTGACGTGAATGCTGTAATTCAAACAGGACAAGGAGGGGATGAAGAATTCAAAATTTTCATTAATAAACTTGAATGGATGGTTCCATACGTTTTACCTTCTGACAATAACAAAGTTAAATTGTTAAAATATATTGAAAAGGATCCATTAATTTCAATAAGTTTTAGGTCTTGGGAAATGTATGAGTATCCTTTAATTCCTACAAGTTCAAAAGTTTTGTGGCAAATTAAAACATCAACGCAATTAGAGAAACCACGCTATGTTATTGTTGGATTTCAAACAGCGAGAAAAGATAAACGTAAAAAATATGCTTGTCATTTTGATCATTGTAATATTACAAACGTTAAACTCTTTTTAAATTCACAATATTATCCTTATGGAAATTTAAATCTAAATTTTGATCAAAATCAGTACTCTCTACTTTATGAAATGTACGCTAATTTTCAATCATCCTATTATGGTAAAGATTCAAAACCTATTTTAACAAAGGATATTTTTAAAAGTTTGTTTCCTCTAATTGTTATTGATTGTTCTAAACAAAATGAGTTTCTAAAACAAGCGTCAGTTGATGTGCGTTTAGAATTTGAAGCAGGAATCAACATGCCGGCTGAAACCACTGCCTATTGCCTAATCATCCATGACCGCGTCATACAATATAAGCCAATCAGCGGTGTTGTAAAGAAACTATTGTAAAGGAGTGGGGATAATGTGGTAGTGGTGGGGGTGATTACTATAAAAGCAGCTGCTCTCGGCTAGAAATTCATTACTGCTTCAACATGGAGTTTATTGTAGACGTTCAAGGTTTTAAAAGAGCCAACAACGAGTTTGTCTTTAAAGAATTGGCAATACTTCCACTGCAATCGGATGCTCTACCACTTGTTTTACTGTTTGAACCTCCTTGTCCTTGGAATTCACTGCCAGGACGCTACAAAAGTGAAAATCTATGGCTAACTCATAATTACCATGGAATTGATTGGGCTGCTGGAGATGTCCTTTACGATGAAGTCCGACTTATTCTACAAGGAATCCTGCGAGGTGCTAGTGCCATCTATGTTAAAGGATTCGAAAAGATGACATGGCTAGAGACATACATACTAAATGTATATAATTTAGAAGATTATAATTGTCCATCGTTGAAAAAACTTGAGAACAAATTGTTAACTACATGTAAACATCATACTTTTCATAGTGAAAATTGTGCTGCAAAAAATGTTAAACTTCTCCAAGAATAGTTTTTAGAACCTTCAAACAAATATATTAGTGCCGCTGTTAAAGGAATTGATGAAGTTGATTCTATGATTAATACTAATTTAAAATATTTTTATGAAAATTATGAATCTTTTTTGTAAATATTTTGATAAGTTTAAAAATAATAAATCTTGTTAACTTTGAATTTAAAAGAATGTTTTGTAATTTCAAAAACCTAACCCTGAAATGCTTTAAAATTCCTGAAAATAAACTTATACTATTTAAATTAACTTATATATAAGGAAGATAATAATAATTTTAAATTCAATTTACAAATAAAATTGTATTTATTTTTCTAATTTCTCTCTCTGATATAAACATTTCTTTTTTTTAATTTTATTTTACAAATTGGAATTCTACAATATTATAAGTTCCACCAATATACTTCATTTGAAGCTGCTTTGCGATTGCAGCTTCTTGCATCGTCTCCAGAGAACTTGGATCTTCTTCAAATAGTTTAGCGAATCTTGACGGTAAGTAAGCAATGAAGTCAGCATTTACTTCTACGATGATTCTCATTCCATACTTGGTCTGCACTTTCTTTATTTTTGTAATATAATAAACAGCATTTTTAACCATTTCGGAAAGAGGCTTCGTCGGCAAGTAACCTTCGAAACGTCCAACGGCGTTGACTTTTTCTAAATCCATTTTAGTTGGTGGTAATGCAAAAGAACCTTAAACAAACAAAATATAAAACAAAGTTAAATTTTTCTATAAAGAATAAAGTTGCAGTATTTAGAAATATAAAAAAAATTGGAAAGAGAAACTTAGAACTATAAAGTCTAAAAATAACCTAAAAGACAAAAAAATGTAATAAAAGTATAAAAAAAATTATAAAGCTGAAAATAGAAACTTAGGAATATTAAACCTGAAAATAACCTAAAAAGCAAGAAAAGTTGTAATAAAACTTTGAAATAAGCTGAAAATAGAAATTAGAAACAAAAAATATATATATATATATATAAAGCCTCAAAATTGAAACTAAATAATATTAAACTTAAAAATATCCTAAAGGATAGAAAACATTGAAATGAAACTTTGAAAATAAAGCTGAAAATAGAAACTAAAAAATATAAAATCATGAAAAGATACTTAGAAATATAAAGTCTGAAAATAATGCTGAAAGAAAAAAAAAATGTAATAAAACTATAAAAATTATAAAGCTGAAAATAGAAACTTAGAAATATAAAACCTGAAAATATCCTAAAAGATAGAAAACACTGAAATAAAACTTTAAAAATAAAGCTGAAAATAGAAACTTAGGAATATTAAACCTGAAAATAACCTAAAACTTTGAAAATAAAGCTGAAAATAGAAACTTAGAAATATAAAACCTGAAAATATCCTAAAAGATAGAAAACACTGAAATGAAACTTTGAAAATAAAGCTGAAAATAGAAACTTAGGAATATTAAACCTGAAAATAACCTAAAAGATAGAAAAATTGTAATAAAACTTTAAAAATAAAGCTGAAAATAGAAACTTAGGAATATTAAACCTGAAAATAACCTAAAACTTTGAAAATAAAGCTGAAAATAGAAACTTAGAAATATAAAACCTGAAAATATCCTAAAAGATAGAAAACACTGAAATAAAACTTTAAAAATAAAGCTGAAAATAAAAGCTTAGGAATATTAAACCTGAAAATAACCTAAAACTTTCAAAATAAAGCTGAAAATAGAAATTTAGGAATATAAAATCCTGAAAAGATACTTAGAAGTACAAAGTCTGAAAATAATGCTGAAAGGAGCTTGAAAATTAAGAATAAAGCTGAAAGAAATGTTACTTACTTTTTGATGACCTGAAAAATAATGATTTTAGTGACTTAAAAGTCGCCTTATATATTCACTACCCCCCCCTTTTTTTTTTCTTTAACCCCACCACTGATATTAATGCGCAACCGCAAACATATCCTAATATGAGGGCGCTGTAGTAATCTTAATCTAATATACATATGCAGTTAATATTGGTGAGAATGGACAACATTTTTCTTCTTGTAAAATTGTATTTTATATCATTAATTAATTAATTAATTAATTGTTCCTTAATTACTTAAGTTATTTTTTTTTAATACTACGTTTGGAAGGTGATGATGACGAATTGGTGATACAGAAGAGGATCTATCTTTACGATTAACTGGTGATCGAGAACGTGATCTATCTTCACGTCTGATTGGTGATGATTTCGAAGTTGAATCTGGTGTCAGTATCAACGTTGGTGGTGTCCATGATCTCTCTAATGGGATGTCAGTTACTTCATTATTTGATTCTGCATATAGTGTGAGTGACCCATCATGCTGGAAATCAAAATTTTCTAACATTGTATCAATGTCATGAACGCACTCTAGTAACTGTAACATCTATAAAATTGTGAAAAAAACAGAATTATGATAAAATAAAGAAAATTAATTCTATGAAAAAAAAAAAAAAAAAAAACTATAATTCTAATGACCTCATGTTCATCAATATCAATGGTAAGAAAATCTAAATCTTCTTCTTCTTCTTCATCAATATCGTTGTCACTTCCAAACGGGACAGTAGTTGCTTCACTATCAACGTCATCTTCTGGGCAAATATTTTCAGGAATTATGTGCCCTTCAGTCATGGTATCAGGCTTGGCAGATAATGAGGAAGTTTCATTGTCCATTTTGTAAAGGAAGAAGTAGCTATAACAAAAATTTGCTAATTTAAGAAAATCGAGAGAAAAATATCTATAAGTATGAAAAAGTAAAAGTTATAAAAAAACAATAAGAATAAGGAGAAAATAAACTTATAAGTTAAGTTGAAAAAAAGAAAAAAAATGAAAGCTAAATTGAATCTAAGTAAAATGAAAGTAAATCTAGAAAGAAAGAAGTGAACGCACCTTTCCTAAAAGGTATTGCTGCTGTTTCTGAAAAAGAAATGATTCTGAAATGGAAATGATTATTCTGAACGCGCACGTTGTTTTATACTTTCTTCTGCCCCCCCCCCTTAAAGGAGGTAAAGGAGAAGGAGAAGGAACTGAGGAACCACCACCTGGTAGTTTTCAAAACTAATCGTACTACGCGGGAAATTTTAAAATTTTTATAACTATATACAACTTTAATTAAACTTATTATTATTATTATTATTATTATTATTATTATTATTATTATTATTATTATTATTATTATTATTATTATTATTATCATTTTGAAAAAAAAGAATAAAAACCATCAAGAAGAAAAAATGAAAGTAATGTGTATATAAATAAATATATTTTTTTTCTTAAATTATAAAATAGACAAAATTTTGTTTAAAAGTCACGCTTTAAAATCAACACATTATATTTATGTCTTTCATTATAAAATTGTTTATTTATTTATTTATTTAAAAAAATACATTTTCTTTTTTTAAACATCTCACAAATGATTATATCATTAGTCATACAAGAACTGTTAAGTTCAAAAACAAAAATAAAATACTTGTCTTAAATTGAATGACTACACAATTTTAACAATTTTTTTTTTCAATATGTGAGTCAACATAAAATAAATGTAGAAATATTAATAATACATAATTAGAGAGACTTAATAAGTCTTTGGTAAGAAAAATACATGAACTGTTAAAGTTCAAAAACAAAAATAAAATACTTGTCTTAAATTGAATGACTACATGAACTGTTAAGTTCAAAAACAAAAATAAAATACTTGTCTTAAATTGAATGACTACACAATTTTAACAATTTTTTTTTTCAATATGTGAGTCAACATAAAATAAATGTAGAAATATTAATAATACATAATTAGAGAGACTTAATAAGTCTTTGGTAAGAAAAATACATGAACTGTTAAAGTTCAAAAACAAAAATAAAATACTTGTCTTAAATTGAAGTCTTACATGAACTGTTAAGTTCAAAAACAAAAATAAAATACTTGTCTTAAATTGAAGTCTTACATGAACTGTTAAGTTCAAAAACAAAAATAAAATACTTGTCTTAAATTGAATGACTACACAATTTTAACAATTTTTTTTCAATATGTGAGTCAACATAAAATAAATGTAGAAATATTAATAATACATAATTAGAGAGACTTAATAAGTCTTTGGTAAGAAAAATACATGAACTGTTAAAGTTCAAAAACAAAATACTTCTCAAGAAGAACGATTAAACATTCAAACATACTGACTATAGATTGAAATAAAAAACTCACAGTATGCATAGAGAAAACAAATTTTCAAATAGTAAAAATGCAAACTATTTTTCCTTTTCTCCCATTGAGTAAATAAAACTTACTTTTCCTCATGTTCTTTGTCACCTGAAGACACTCTTCTTTTTTTACTCATTGCAGTTTTCTTATTTTCCCTTACTTTTCTTTTCCTAGGGAAACATGGGTGTTCATTAATTATTATAGTTTTTGATTTTTCTGGTGGCTGGGAGATTGAAGCAATCGCTGCAATAAGTTCTGTATCTGAGGATTTCAATACG